TACCCTCCTCCCCTCCCCCCTCCTCCTCCCTCCCCATCTTCACCCCTCCCTTTCTCCCCCCCCCCCCTAATACTCAGCGAAAGCAAGCTGCCCAAACTGACCAATCAGCGGCCAGTACATGCGACACGCCCACTGGTCAACACCTGTCCGGTATCTGGGTCGCACGTGGCAGTTAGGGGGGGGGGTGAGGGGGGAAGGGGGGGGGGGAATTGAGTAACGACCCATTACGGAACAACTTCGTCCCTTTCGTCCACGGCAGAGGTGCTCGAGTTAATTAAATAGGCCTAGGTAGATTACGAGTGTGCGGGAGGGGTGGGGGGTGGGGGGGTAGTAAATTATGGCAACCGGAAAGTATAAATTTGTTATGGCGACGGAATGTGTTTTAATGGGTATTTCTGCTGGATGATAACGGTTTCGTATCGGGGTGATCCAGTTTCGTTTTCTTAGTTTAAAAAAAAAGAGATAAAATGATAAAATAGAAAATTATTTTTTTATATATATTCTTTGTAATCCTATCTTTCCAGCTTATAATTTGTCAAGGAATAACAGTCAGCTAAAATTAAAAAAAAAAAAAAAAACATATGAAAACCTTACTGACCATTAATTAATTCACCAACAAAAGAATATACGAAAAAAAAATGATCTATCACCTGCCTCCTTACTCCCCCCACCCCCCCTCACCTCCCATCATCAGCTGGCGTGACCTTCCGCCCAGACGACACGCGCCGCCCGACCTGGATTGACCTGACATCCGTGACCGGAAGCGGGGCGGCTGTCACTGTCCGCACAGCAGTAATTTGTTTACCTCGACTTCCTCTTGCTTGACCTCACCCGACACGCAAGCTCGGTTGTTTTTTGTACTGAATTCACTGTTTTAACACGATGCGGTTGTTCATAAGCCTTTCCCCCCTCTCCCTCCCTCCCTCCCCTCTCTCTCTCTGTCCTGTTCGGCCGCCTCCGTGTTTTGTTATCGTATTTTGTGTTAATTATTATCGCATTCTAATCTGTCTGTCTCCTCTCTCTCTCTCTCTCTCTCTCTCTCTCTCTCTCTCTCTCTCTCTCTCTCTCTCTCTCTCTCTCTCTCTCTCTCTCTCTCTCTTTCTCTGTACATATATAAAGAGTTAGATCAATATATATACTGATATATATAAGTTAGAATTTATATATAAACGCACGCACAAACACAAGCGCGCGCGCACACACACACACACATTCACATATATATATGTATATATATATATATATATATATATATATATATATATATATATATATATATATATATATATATATATAATATATATATATATATATATATATATATATATATATATATATAATATATATATATATATATATATAATATATATATATATAATATATATATATATATATATATATATATATATATATATATATATATACATATTATATATACATATATAATATATACATATATAATATATACATATATGATATATATAAATTATATATTGATATATATATATTGATATATATATATATATATATAATATATATATATACATTCATTTAATATATATACATGTATACATACCCATATATAAATATGGATACACTGTGGGGGTTGTGTGCGTGGGGGGGTAGGGTGCGTGTGCGTGTCCGTGTGTGCGTGCGTGCGTGTGTGTGCATACATATATATATAAATATAAATATATGAATACACACACACACACACACACACACACACACACACACACACACACACACACACACACACACACACACACACACACACACACACACACATCAGTTGATTTAATTTTCCTGTACATCTCGCTTTTTTATCTATCGATCATGCTGTCGAGTTTCGGAAGACATGACTTCATACTATGTATTTTTTTATATATCACTTCTACCTTTATACATTATATTCTATATTCTATCTACGAAATATCCAAAGCACATGCGAAACGAACTTACAAATACACCCAAAGCACACACACAAAAACAAAACAAATGACGTCATTAGTCGACATGCGTGAATCACGTCACTCTCACCTCTCTCAGGACGCTCCTAAATCCGTGTCGAATTTCCGATCCCCCTTTTTCGCCTTTTTCTTATGTCTCTTTCTTTTGCTATTTACCTTTTCTTTTCTTTCTTTTTTTCCTCTATTCTAAAATCCTCTTGTGAAGGTTACTTCTTTCTGACCTGGCTTTTTTCCTTTCCTTCGTGACCTTTTATCTCCTTCGGTTTGACCTTTTCTTGTCCTTTCTCTAAAAAAAATTCACCTTTTTCTCTTTTCTTGAAATTTGTCCTTAGGGTATAGTGAATATTTTGTTTATTTTCGTTTCCTGAGGAGATTTGTCATATTAGTAACATAAAATTAATTAAGTTATAATTCCCTTCAGTAAGGTGAATACAAAATGAAATATAAGTACTGATTTAGTCTATTAATGTACGATGCAATGGAAATATTAAACACTAACATTTATATCTATATTCCTTTTTAAAAATGCAGCATTTTCAAAAAATCAAAATATACCATCAGAAAAAAACAAAATATAGCAAGGTTCCTTAGGTATCTTCATCAATACAAATATCATTATCAACAACGTTCACTATACCACCAAGGACAACGATCAACAATACCTAACACTGCTCTCACACATGCACACTCCCGCCCGGTCAAAAACTTTCTGGG